GTGCTGAGGATTTAATGATTTTTTTATTATTCTAAATGAGACTTAAAAAAAATAAATAAAAGGTTGCTCTTTTAAAAACCAGACAGAATTAAAGACTTAGAGCTATAAGAAAATCACATTTTGTCTGATGTTTAATGTACCACTGGAATGGCTGGGGTTTCCAAATTCAGCTATAATGGTGATTTCAGATTCTGCTTTAGTTTGTAAGAGTTTGATCTCTCAGCTGCATCCCTATTGGGGCTTAATAAAGAAGCTGAGGTGAAGGACGTGCCAGAACTTCTTAAAACAAAGAAGAGGAGCCCGAGCCAGTTTGGCTCAGTGGTTAGGGCGTTGGACTGTGGACTAAAGGGTTTGGGTTCGATTCCAGCCAAGGGCATGTACCTCGGTTGCAGGCTTGATCCCCTGGCCCCGGTCGGGGAGCATGCAGAAGGCAACCAATCAATGTTTCTCTCTCACCTAGATGTTCCTCTCTCTCTCTCTGTCCTCTCCACTCTTTCTGAAAAGCAATGGAAACAGTATCCTTAGGTGAGGGTTCAAAACAAAACCAAACAAAACAAAAAACAAAGAAGATAAAACTCCTTTTTAAAAAAAAAAAAAATCTTTTTTTTAATGTATTGATCAATTTTTAGATAGAGAAGAAGAGGGGAGAGAGAGAGCAAGAGTGTGTGTGAGAGAGAGAGAAAGGAACATTGATTTCTTGTTCCACTTGTTCATGCATTCATTGGGTGATTCTTGTATGTGCCCTGACGGATCGAGCTCAAAACCTTGGCGTATTGGGACGACACTCTAACAACTGAGCTACCCAGCCAGAGCCAAAGATGAAACTCCCTAAGAATACTACCATGTTTGTATTTCTAGATTTTTTTTTTCCAGGGAAAATATTCTGGCCTAGAGGGTTGGTATTTTTGGGGTCACATTTAGCTGTTGTGTTTAGGGCATGCACGCTTGCCACAGATGCATAAAACTGGTTAGAGATGATGAGATTTACGTGGCGGAGAGAACATTTTCTGCCTTAAGGAAAGGACAGCCTCCAGATGAGGAAACAAAACATGTTTACAGAGAATAAAGAGTCCAGGGAACTCGTATGCCAGAGGACCATTAAATGTCACACAGGAGTGATGAGTTGGAAGGGTTTAGCGAAGAGGGAAGTCAGCTGAGGACCGTAAGTTTTATTTAACTTAGAAGGATAGAGTGAGGGTTTTGGTAGGTGGGTGAATAGCATTGGCAAGTCTCAGGGGGGTCATGAGCAAGTCAGGTTCTATTTGTGGGACCAGGAAAGAGATCTGGCTGATTGAAGGGGTCTTGTTTGGAGGGAGATACCATTATGGCAACTGCCTATTGCTTAGTGTGTGCTGGGCCTCTTGTTCAAGGCTTTTCACATATTATTTCTTAATGATGGGTATTACTATCTTCATTTTACAGATGAGAAAATCGAGGCCCAGGGATGTTAAATAAATTGCCAAGGTCACAGCATTTAGTATCAGATCTGGAATCTGAACTTGAATCACCTGATTTAAGGTGACATTTAATTTATCATCTAAACAGGACATTTTAACAGTAAAAAGGAACACTGGTAATGATTAAGCCAGAACAACAGGTTCTGTCTGGACAATCAAGACTGTCTGGGCAAACCCTACATATATATTTGGTCACCCTGACTCAAAGCCAGGCCTTGCTTTGATTTGAATGGGAAGGATAGGGCGACGTTATAGATGGTTTTACAGATAATCAGTGGAGAAAGAAGTAAAAGGTGTTGTAAGATAATTAACCTGACAGTGCTGAATACAATGGAATGGAGTAGAAGAGACATAAGAGGCCAAAGGAACAATTACTTGGTGACTTCATTAAAAGTAGGTTAGATGTGATGAAGATCAGAATTAGGTGGTAGAGTGCTGGGGGAGTAAGACTTCCTATAAATTGTTTACAATGAAAAACTTCAAACCTACCCCAAACTGGAAAAAAATATATAGTGAATCTCTCTGTGCCAGTTGCCCAGATGAAAAAAATGATCTGATTTTGTCTTGTTTCACCCTCTTGTTACTTCTTTCTTGACGTTTTTCTTCGCTGGGACACTTAAAACAAACTCGGACACAATATCATTTCACCTTTCACCTCAGTGTGAATTTCTATGGAATATGGGCATTTCTTACCATCCACAGCATCATTACCAAGCTACCAAATTAATAGGAGTTCTAACTTTTTACTCTTAATGCTCATTATGGAGGTTAATATCCATATCTTCCCAGTTTTGTTTTGTTTTACTGATCTTTTTCTTCCCTTGAGTTAGAATCCCAGTAAAGAAGGAAGAAACCATAAAACATTGTGACTCCGTAAAACTGAGTCCAGACGTTTTGAGTTTAATAAGCAGGACAGTCGTTTACCTGGCCAAGTGGGTGCTGGGAGCAGAGGGGGAAAGCTTACGGGGAACGTTGGCAGGCCCTCGACGGCTTCCCTTCCCCAGGTGCTCAGGGGCTGCCTCCCCCCTGTTCCCCAGCAGCAGCGGGGCGTCCCCTGTGTTCTATAGGCCTCTGCCCGGTCCCTCTCATGAGCACCCAGTGGAGGCTTGCACGCAAAGGTAAACCCATTGTTCTGGGCCTTCCAGAGCCTTCCACATGGACATGTCAGCCCACAGTTGCTCTTTAAGCGCTTGTGAACATTTTTTACGATTTCTTCTTTCCTGCTTGGCACTCTTTGGAAGTAGCTGCTCCTCAGCCTCAGCTCTCGGGTGGCCCGGGAAAAGCAATGTCCCCTGTTACCTGGATGGCTCCCCTCACTAGTGAAGGAGAATCTTACCTCCTGATTCCGCCCTGACATCCTTAATGTTGGCGGGTGTGAGTCTCCTCATAGGAATTTCCCAGCAACACACTTTCATGATTTCCAGGCAGGGTTTTATTCACCTAACAGGGATTTGTGGTGTAAACTGAGGCTGGTTTTTTTATAGTTTTCCCCCTGAGCTGCTGCTGCTTTTTTTTAAATCCTCAGATGAGGGAATTTTTTTCTATTGCTTTTTCAGAGAGAGCGGAAGGGGCGGGGGAGAGAGAGAGAGAGTGAGAAGCATTGATGAGAGAGAGAAAAGCATTGATTGGTTGCCTCCCACATGAGCTCGATCTGGGCCAGGGATCGAGCCTGCAACGGAGGTACAGGCAGGAATCGAACCTGGGACCCTTCAGTCCTCATCTCTAACCACTGAACCAAACCGGTGAAGGTTCTCTCTGAGCTTCTCAGGTTTCCTCCCCTACATGGAATTTGACAGCTCTTTTTATCTCTTTAAAACAATGCCTGTTTACTGAGTTTTTCAAAGCATTCAACGTAGAATTTATGTAAACAATTTTTGCCTTGCATAGTCATGTTTTATCTGCTTGCGTAATCTTTACATAAATTATATAATGACATCAACAAGGGTAAAAAGCGGTCTGGAGACACAGAGCTGAGCTGGCCAAGGGAGAGGGATGGACACACAGCAGCAGGGAAGCTGATTCTGGGGCATTAACAAACCACCGGAGGAGTGTATTTTATCCAAACCAAATACTTTTTGGGACAAAACTGGGCTTTTCCAGATCTCGAATACTTCATTAATTCTTTTCTAATGATTATTTATTGGGCAGCATCTAAATTTCTGCAGATTTCAGTCTCATTTCTTTTCAATTTTTTTCCCCTTTTAAATGACAAATACTAAAAGCTGAAATACTCTAAAAATGGCTTCGGGTCACATATCCTACACCAGACATTATAAAATCAGATTAACATTTATAGGAAGTGGAATTTTTAACTTAATAATGTTAAGAACTATATCTTCTTTATGGGTTTGTTGTTTTGTTTTGTTTTTGGTGGGGGAGGAGTAGAAAACTATGTCATTAAAAGTTCCTTTTTAAAAAAACTTTAATTCTTTTAAAAATTAAAAGTGAGCTCAAAGTGTACACAGAAAAAAATGTCCCCCTGCTCCTAGTCCCACTTTCTGCCCCCTGTTGGGGGGAGGTGACTGTCAATTGCTGAGCTTTCTGTCACACAAAGAACAGAGCAAGGTTCAGGCGTGTGCGTGACATCTCATGGACCTAGGACAGACCAGAAAATGTGATTCAAACCACGTTCCTTGTAAAGACCCTCCAGGCCAACTTTCCAGGGCTGTCTTAGGGGTGAAACCAAATACCACGGGAAGGCACTTTTTGCCTTCTTCCTTGCTCCCTCCCTGGATTTGCCAGTGGTCACAAGGCTGCCATGCCCGTGCCAGGTCCTGGGGGGGCTCCCCAACCCCTCCCATTCCTAGGGAGGCCCTTCGGCCCTGAGCCCTCATGAGACACGCAGTGTCAAAGACACCGAGCTCCACGAGACCCGAAGTCTCTCTTCCCTGTGCAACCCGAGCCCCTGGTTCCTCTGAAAGAATCTGAAATGATTTAAGGGCAAACTCAGCAGCAACAGACTCGATTACCTGCTGTAAAGGTAAAATAAAATCCCAGCGCAGGGGTAGGTGTGGACACGTGGCCCAGCCGGGGGAAAGCTACGGGGACCAGGCTGGTGCCAGATGTTTGCACACGAATAGCTTCCTGCACATTTCCCCCGAGCACTTTTCTGAGAGGGGTCAGTGTCCTGGCTGATTCCTGGTCAAGGCCACACACATGGGTTGCAGGCCCGATCCCTGTCCCGCAGGTCGCATGTGGAGACAACCAATGGATATGTCTCTCCCACAGCAATGTTTCTCTCTTTCTCTCTCCCCACCCCCTTCTACTCTCTCTAAAAATCTGTGGAAAAATATCCTCGGGTCAGGATTAACCAAAAAAACAAAAAAAAAGAAAGAAAGAAATGGCAATAACATTCTAAGAATACAGTAATATAGAGAGGTACAATAATTTGTGAATATATTCACAAATTATTGTACCTCTCTATATTATATATATAGAGTGTATATATATATAAAAGTATATATATACTTTTATTTTCTAAATAAACATTTTGAACTTTTACTGAAAAAGTAATTTACTATTGTTTTGTGGCTTTTCCCCCAGGTATTTTAAGAAAAATAATACAAAGGAAGTTTGACCTCTCCACTGATTATGAGAAGGTAATTTTTATCGATGTGTTTGTTATTAAAATAAGCATGAGCAAATTTTGACTGACTTGAAAGTAAATCTTTAAACAACCCATTATTTAATCTGCAAATTTAGTAAGTGTTTTTGACTAAGACATTTTATGGAATATTGACGCACCTTATAAATCTCATTTGAACTACAGCAGAAATGACAAAAGGAGCGTTTAAAGAAACGTTCGCCTTTCAAGTAGTAGGTTATGTAAAAACTGAAATTTCCTTAAAGGAAATATTATGCTACTTTTTTAGCTAAGGGAGGAGAATTCCCTAAGTAAAGGTGACCTTGAACAACGTGGGGGTTGGGGCATAACCCCCATGCACCCGAAAATTCAGGTATAACTTTTGACTCCCTGAAACCTTAATTACTAATAGCTGCTGAACAAACTCAGAAACAGTCTGGAGGCTTTGCTAGAAATAAATGACAAAGATATACCCATGGATTTTAGAGTCTGCAAACTGGAACACAGCTAGACCAAACCCAGAAGTGCTGCAAAGGAGAAAGCAAAGTGCAGAGTTGAGTTGTTATAGTCAAGTCCCATTCTTGAGACCAGCCCGCCCTGCATTCGTGGCCTCTGGACTGGTCTGAGTGGTGATCTCCTAGGTGACCTGGTGGCCTGGGTACTAGATGTCAGGTGGTCTGAGTGCATGAACCTTCTCTCCTTAGCCCGTCAGGGAGTCACCAGAGGTTTGATGGATATCTAGGCATTGACACAGGGCTTGAAAGGCCAGAAGTTTAAGTTCCCAGGCTACTTACAACACAAATAGAATTGTCTCCTCGCACCACAACCTACGTGATCTCAGTCATTGAACAGCCCGACCATTCTCACCTTCCCTCTCTTCCCTGTGGCCCACATTGGCCGTGCAGATGACATACAGTCAATTGACACATATGCTGTACGTTATGTGTATTTATACTGTGTTCTTGCAGTGAGGTAAGTTAGAAAAAGTGTTATTAAGAAAATCATGAGGACAAAAAACTACATTACGGTACTTCGTGTATTTATTGGAAAACCCATGTTGTTTGAGGGTCAACTGTAGAATTTTTTGAACATCCCTACAAACAGGGACGGGTGCTTTGTTTCAAGAGATAGTTTGTCAGGCAGTGTCTTCCTACTTGAACAATGTGTTTCGAGCCGTCTGTGTGTACCTGCCTAGGANTGAGGGTCAACTGTAGAATTTTTTGAACATCCCTAGAAATAGGGACGGGTGCTTTGTTTCAAGAGATAGTTTGTCAGGCAGTGTCTTCCTACTTGAACAATGTGTTTCGAGCCGTCTGTGTGTACCTGCCTAGGACTGGAAGGGAGATGGAGGTGAGGAAGGCAGCCCTTGGTCTCAAGAGGCTAAGATGCTGTGGGAGTCTAAGATCCAGTCTGTCATTGTCGATGGCTCCATCTCAGACACTGGACAATGGAAATATAAAGAAAAGATAAGAGCCAGATGCCAGGGACTGTCTAATTCTGTAGCAGAAGAAGGAAATAGTAGATTTACACGTAACATACAGAGCAACATATAGAAAAATATAATTCATGATGACCAGAAGTTCTCCCATGAGGAGGTGCCTTTGGGGCTTGTTGCGAGAAAAACAAGCAAGGCTGGAGTAGCTGGGGAGGTGGCTTTGCTGGCACCCCAGGCTCGGGCCACATGGGCATGAGGACAAGGTGTGAAAGAAGGAAGTTCGTGGACAGAGCGGGTGGGTGAGGAGGGAGAGGAAGGAAAGGTGAGCTGGGGCCGGATCACAGGAGGGCCTTGGGCACCTCGCCGTGGTCGGTGGACATATTTCAGAAACTATCCAAGCACCTTGCACGCCTCTACTTAATGCCAGGGTATCGCTAACTTACTCCACGGCTTCTACGATTAACTACCTGAACAGAGGGATGCAGTCTTTTGATTTTGGTCTATGACGACTATAGGTTGCCAGCAAGACAAACAAACAAGTACTTGTTGCATTGAATGCTATGAAAATAAAAAATAGTGAAATCCGTTTGTCAGGTTCTCGGTCCTGCAGGGTCAGGCACCTCGCTCTCTCCTTTCCTGGTGAAAAGCTGGCTATCGAGACAGCAGTGAAAGCCCTGGAGCTGGGCCGCCACCGTCCACGGCGGGACTCTTGGTGGGGCAAGTCCTTGGTTGGTTCGTATCCCATTTGGGGCTCCTGTAAAACTGCTGCTCTTCGGTTTTTTGTGTTTTTATTTTTCTCTCCACATCAGGTACCTTTGCAAACTGATAAAAAGCATCGGAGTGGGGGCAGAGTGGAGAGAGGAGACTGAACTGCCCACATGAATGAACCGAATCCTACCCTAGATGTGGATTGGGTCACAGTGGCCACAGCTTTCCAAGGAAGAGGGATGTAGTTGAGCAGAGACACCACAGAAGCGAGGGCACTTTGGGAGGCAAGCTTCTGGTTGGCTTTAGTCTGATGGAAGCTGGGTGGGTTCCCCCGGAGCAGACCCCGAGTGCGGGACTCAAGGGCACTCCGCAGCGCAGACCGTTTGTTCCACTTAACTGCCTCCCTTCTGGACGTCAGCTGAAAGTTAAAAGCAGTTCGTTATGACCCTTGGCCCCTTCTCCTCCGTGACATTTTTTTTAATACTTTCTCTCTCTTGTTTCATGTATTCGTTTAATTGCCATTTAGAGCACTCCCTAGGAGCAGTGCGTGGGAGGGGTGCAGACAGGGCCAGGATGCCCTTTCCCCCGGAACTGGCAGCTGGGGAAGGGCGGCTGTGGGGTAAGACACGTGCAGGGGTGTTGAGCGGAGATCACACGGCAACTCGCTGGGCCATTCAGTGGGGCGTTGGGCCTGCAGCGGCCGAGCGCTGTGCTCAGGATTCAGCAACGAGCCCTGCCGAGCACAGCCGGCATTGCAGAGCTGAATCCATCCCCGGGGCTCAGAGAGGGTGGGCGAGCCCTTTCCATATTGCCCACGTGCTGGCTGACCGTAAACGAAGGGGAAAAACAGCATCGCCCACCCCCCGGGCTCACGTGGGGTGTCTGCAGATAGCGTCTCGGCCTCGCGCTTGTCAAGTGGGGGCCGCTCAGTTAAACGAAAGAGCACAGCTCCGGTGCTCAGAGAGCGCTTGGCTTGGGGCAGTTTAAGTAGATGACTTACTGTCACTTCCCACCAGTGACCCAGATGTGGTTCCCGGGTCTAGAACCTTCACAGAGGATGGTTGTGCCGGCAAGCCCACCCCCTGCCATCTTTTCTATTCTGCGCATCCCTGTTGGCAGGCATGCGAGTGTCCTCCGGGCGACTTCCCGAGTCCCCTTCCCGGTGCTCATGGTGCATCCCCGCTCCCGCCTCCTGGCTGTGTCTTCCTCAGCCATTGTCCCTCAGCCACTGCCTCGCCCCTCCTTGACGCTCCCTGGGCGGCGCTTCTCATGACCTCACTAGTGCTACCGGCCTGGGATATCGACTTGACACTTGCTGGGCATCAGGCGACCCTTCGGGTGGGTTTGATGTTTGAAAGCCACCCTACATGCTCTGGCAGGTGAGCTTCCATATCTCCCGGCCTCCGAGCACCCTGGAGCGCTGCCTGTAGGAAGACGCCCTCCCTCCCAAGGAAGGAGAGTGTCCTGTAGCTACTCCGAGGCGTCTGGCGAGAAAGCGGAGAGCCCTCGGCTGGGGATCATCTGAAGCTCGGGGGGAGAGCCGAGAACAGTGCTGACGCGCATCGATTATTACGTTTTCTCATTGTTACCCACTGAGCGTTACTTGGACAGGCTCTGGTCCAAGGGCTCCCCATGAATTAACCCGCTTCACGTGCATTAACTAGTGCACGCAAAGCACTTAGAACCGAATGATGCACAACACAGGCTGCTCCTCACTGTTTCTCAGGTTTACATTGAAATAACTGTATAAATAGGGTCTCTGCTTGTCCCTGTCCTGTCGCTAAGGTAACCACGGCTGAGTAGCATTGTACCCGCGCCGAGACCCAACCCCAGAGACTCTGATGTAGTTGGTCCAGGGTGCCTGGTTATTGATATTTTTCAAAAGATCCCTGGGTGACGGTTGTGGCAACTAATTGGAGCAGGGAAGCACCGACTCTCAGCGGTGGAGCCAGGATGCAAACTGCTCCATCGCACATCCACATCCGTGACAGCCAGCAGGGGCAGGGAGAGGGTGGGAGGGCACCCGGCGCTGCTGAGGGCTGTTGGCTCCCCGTCAGGCATCAGACCAGGCCGCTGCGGGAGCGGGAATTAAACAGGAGCAGCCAGCTGACGGGTGCAGCTCACGGGCTCTTCTGCGCCGTCTGCAGCCCAGCGTCACCAGCCCCGGGAGCCAAGAGCCGGCTTCCAGACTTACCTACTCGTAGCATGACCGGGGCCATTTTATTTTATTTTATTATTATTATTATTTTTATTTTTAAATATATCTTTATTGGTTTCAGAGAGAGGAAAGGAGAGGGAGAGAGAGAGAGAGAGATAGAAACATCAATGATGAGAGAGTCATTGATCGAGCCTGCAACCCCGGCATGTGCCCTGACTGGGAATCGAACCCAGGTCCCAGGTCGATGCTCAACCGCTGAGCCACGCCTGGCCGGGCAGGGCCATTTTAAAGACAGATTTGTGCTCTCATCCGAGTCTCCTGACACCCACTTCAAGGGAGGAGCCTGAAGTCAGCGTTTTTAACATCCACTGGGTAGTGCTCGTGGTAGTGAGCTTGGGGGGAATCCAGCCTGTGGGGCCCTCACCCAGGAAAGGGGGGGCTGGGGTCACTCAACATGCCCCATGTGACCCTGAGGGCAAAGGTATCTGAACTGCCCACGCCAACATTTTGGATACCTCACTTAAAAGTTAGTATCACAAACATTTTTCTTTGCCATCTCTGAAAATCTGCCATCTGAAAGGATTGTTTCTGAAGTTGGATTTCTTGGACCAGACAGTTTCAAAAAGATAATCTGGGGAACGACATAGAGCCACCTAATTTTATTTTGCTACATAAGGACATTTATTAAGTCAATCATAATAACTTTGCTTCACTTCACACACATTTTGCCTCCCTCCCCCCAAAAAGGATCGTCTTAAAAATTGAACAAATTTCTGCTTCACTGCGGGTTGGTCTTTCCTCATCGCTGACCAGTCCCTGTCGCTGGACCACTGCTTAGGAGTGTTGGCCTGAGGCAGTGGCTTCTACTCCCTCAGCTTATCAGTTTATCTGGTTCTGAAAGGGCAAGTATTGGGTGCCAGGTCCCCGGCTGGGCACTTGGGAGAGAATGGTGGGTGTGACTGTCATTGTTCTCAGTCCCCTGGGGCGTGCAGGACAGCCAGTGGCCCTAAGTGGGGTAAGCGCTGTGAAAGGGCACGTGTAGGACTAAGGCAGCGCGAAGGAGGGAGGTACACAGGCCCAGTCTATCAAGGCGGACTTCCTGGAGGAAGGGGAAGCGTGATGGGAACAATATCCTGGACAAGGAGGCATCATGAGGGAGCCCAGAGTGAGGAAGGGGAGAGAGCAGTTGCTTTCTGGAGACGGCAGTGGTCAGGAAGAGGGGGAACGATGCCAGGGTTAAATGAGGTTGGACCGCGAAAAGAGTCCGAGCTAATTGTGGCGGAGACCCGTGCACTGCTATTAAGCAAGGCAATGGCGCCATCCGAACTTCATTTCAGAAAGGACACGCGGGGGGGCGCTGCCTCTGGCCCCGGGTCCGCGGCAGCGCTGCTTCTCTGTCTCACGAAGTCCGCGTGGCTGGCGTGCTGGGCATCTGTGCCTTTCCCCTCCGCTCCCCTGCCCTTAGCTGACTAGCCTACCGACGAAAGGCCTCTCCAGAAATCCAAATGCGAATTCACGAGCAAGGCCCAGAGCCTGATTCTACCCCAGACACCCTTCCTCTGATAAACGCTCAGTTCTGCATCCCTGCGTGTGCCGATCGCCCTCTCGCGTGACTTTCTCTGCAGCTAACTTTTCTGTTTTCTCGCTGCACGCTGCCGATGCTTTCCGCAAATCCGCAACCGCCTTGGCTTCCACAGCCGGAGAGCGTGGTGCTGGCTCTGAAGGTACAGTCCCTGTCCGCTCTTCCCTGTCGCTCTAACGCCAGCGAGTCGTGACGATGCAGCGCTTTTGCCAGAACTTTCTATCCTTTGTTGTCACGTGCACCCTGATGGTCTCTAAATCATGAGTCTCCGTTTGCTTCTGCCATCGTCTTTAGTCTTCCTTCAGTTGGAGTAGTTCACGGAAGACAAGTGGCCCATCTCGGCAAATTCAGGTCCTGGTTTTCTTTCAACGCAATCCGTGGAGTGCTCCAGCAATCCTGGTGTTTCAGAATGTCATTTAGGTCCTTTAAATGACCTCTTGTGCTTATGCCGTCTGACCTGATATTTAGTCACACTGGAAAGCTTGTATATCAAAGATAAAATTTGTGTTTGGAGCTAAGGAGAGGATATTTAAAACATTTCAGTACACATTCTCTCCTGGGTTTGGGTTCAGTGTTTCTTAAGATGCAGAAAGGATTTTAAATTCCTTGAGAAATAGTAAATAATTTAGACTATTTGCTGGGAAATGATAGCAAAATGTATAAATGAGAGCCCGGGGTGTCTAGAGCTGGTTTCTCAGTCGGCCAATGACATGAAACCTCAAGGGAGTGTTAAAAGCGCCCCCAAATAAAGACTCTTCCTGCCTGCGGGCGGGCCTTAGTTTAAGCAGGACCATGTATTTGCTGAACACAGCAACATCCAACCACTTTTTTTCTTTTTAGCATCTTAACCTTTATATCAAATAGATAAGATAATATTGAAATGCCATGTGCCCCCGCTGAATACCCTTAAGCATTTGCCCACAGAGTTAACTGATAGGGACTGAGTATCTGCTGTGTGCTGGGCTCTTGGCTAGTTGTTTTCCCATTAATTCATTTTACCGTGTGTCCCTCGCAATATGCTTATGAGGTCGGTGCTACTGTAACATTTTCCAGTTCAGGGAACCAGAAGCCCCTACCGGTGTTGAAAGCCCGTCTCTGAATTCAAGCTCAGCCTTCTCTCCCAAACATCACCTTTGGTCCTCAGACCGACGCTTGTGTTTTGTTTCGCTTTGCTCAGCTTGGCTTCAGGATCTGTTGCTAACTAGCTGGCCCATTAGTGGCAAACTGCCAACCTGTAATTAATTTTCTGCCACTCTTTGAAAATGTCTTGCTTTGTGGAAACATGAAATAACTGCCTGTGAATTGCAATGAGATGAAGTTTAGTTAAACAGTTGCATTGGTTTTTATTTATCCCAGAATAAGGTCAGGAGAGATGATGAAAACATATTTTGGTCCCATGATTGTATCTGGGACCATGTTGTGCCGGTTGCTAGGAATCTAGGAGCTGTCTGAGGTGTGGGCAGCCAGGCTCAGACTCATGGGAAATGCGTGATGCCACTTATTAAGTGTCTACCCCCTGCCTGGTACTTTACTTGGCACATTATTGCTAATTCTACGTTATCTGCAATGGTCACAATGACCTTACAAGGTATGTATTATTATTCCCAGTATGCGGATGGCACAATGAGTGGCCGTGCCCGGCTCAGAAAGTCTGAGCCTTTTTTCTAAATTTCAATGTATCCCAGATTCTTTTGTAACTGACCATGAACTTGCTGTTAACCGACGCAATCCAAACTGCTTTGCATTCTTAATAACTTCTACTGGTCATTTTTCTGGTGAAAAGCACCCTCTGCGTAGATTCTTCCTTATGCAAGTATTTCTGCCAACGTCTGTTACACCACTTAAAAGTAAACCCAATACGTCCTGGGGTTGGACTAGACCCCTTTGCAGCTTGGCCCTGCATTTAGACGTTTCCTTGGGAGTGGAAAGAGGACAGTAACCGCTTGGTCCCGTGTTCCGATCACTCAGATCTCTGCTCCCTCTGTTTCAAGAAGGAGCTTCGGTGGGAATGTGCGCAGAGGCCTCTGGGGCCTGCGCTCGGGCAGGCAGGCGAAGGAAGGGCCGGGGGCGCCGTGGGGTGTTCCACCTGCCCTGTGACGCACACGCTGTCTCCTTTGCTTGACTTTCAGGTCATCCACTATGAGATGGGGATTCTCTTCTGCGCTGCCGTGGGGCTCCTCTTCATTGCTGTCATGCCCCTGGTGGGGCTCTGCTTCGGCGTGTGCCGCTGCCGCAGGAAGTGCGGCGGAGAGATGCACCAGCGGCAGAGGAGAAACGGGGCCTTCCTGAGGAAGTGCTACGCGGCCTCCCTGCTGGCGCTGTGCGTGCTCATGAGGCGAGTAGGACCCGACGGCCGCTGGCTGGGCCCTGGCGGGTCAGGAACGGCTCGTGTTTTACCGTTAAGCCAATGAGGTTACACAAAAGCAACCCTCCCTCCCCCCCAAAAAAAGAAGAAAAAGAGAGAACAAAAAGGCTTGTCCAGGGTGCCTAGGAAGCCGTCAGCACAGCAGACGTTGGCCCTGGACCCAAGCTTTCCTGACCTACGTGCTGAGCCAGCCCTCCGCTGTGTGTTCATCTTGAAAAGCATTTGCTAGTTGCCGGGTTCGCCCAAAGGGATCTTAAAGGATGGGCACCGTTCCCGAATTTGGGAATTGGAGACTATTGTAGAATGGAATTAGCTTCCTGACAATGTGTCTAAGTTTCTTAAATTTGCAGTTAAGCTGCTACCCTCTCTTGAGGTCTGGGACACAGGTCACCATTTAGGATGTTTCTCCTGTGGCTCCTGCTGCAAAAGTTTTCCAGCTGGCTGGCCACGTGAGGTGCCCTGCTTTACTTCAGGATGGTGGCGTTTTGTTAAGAGTCCAAATCACATTCCTCGGCTGAGGACTGTGCTCTGTGACACTGGCCCCTGCTCATGACAGTCGGTCATCATTCCGCATTTCCTCATTCGCTCAGCCCGCTGTCCTTTAGCCACAGAAGTCAAGCACTGATGTCATGCCTAATGCAAGGCCTCAAGGGACTTTGCTCAGAGACAGTGAGGATCAGCAGTGGGCATCCTCGCGGTCGTTTCTCTAAGTGCTGCATTCGCTCAGCAGCCCTGATTAAGATTTTTCAAGGTTTGCCCTCGCTGGTGTGGCTCAGTTGGTTGGAGCGCCCTCCTGTGCTCCAAGGGGTCATAGGTTCGGTTCCTAGTCAGGGCACAAACCCAGGTTTTGGGTTCAATTCCCCCTCCCCCCTCTCCCCTTTCTCCCTCTCCCTC